TTGGGACACCTGAAACTGCAAAATCGAAAGGGAGTGTGCGCTCACACAAATTGCGCTCACGTTAGGATAACAGTTTATCACAAGTGAAAATGCCCTTACCTTGGTATGACCATGTGTTCAGGGCAACTAGCTGAAAATTATCAAGCAGGGAATGCAGCATGTGCCCGTCACTGGCATGCGCGGCGGTATGATGCAGGAGGCCTCTTCCAACCAGGTTATCCTTGGGGTCTAAACTGCAGTTAAAGTCACCCAAAATTAAAACCTGGTTTCGCTTGGGCAAGGAGTTGACTAGGGTGTGTAGTTTAGCCCATATCTCAGCTCTTTTCTCAAGAACAAGATCTTTGCTGGTTGTCTTCCCCTCTTTGGCCTTGGCAATGGACCAAGCATGTTGGTATATCACTATGACGTCAATACATGGTTCAGACAAAAGGCGGACGTGGAGAAGTCTGCCAGCAACTACCTCCTGATAGTGGACGTGATGCTCCGGAAATTTTTGCCTGGAAATCATTAGAAGAATGCCTGCCTCAGACTTAGAACCCCCACTATGAACAACCGTAAACCTATCCCATTGATACTCCATGGCACCCTTCCAATGCGTTTCCTGAATGGCAACTAGATCGGTTTGGCATCCTGTTTCGCTACCCAGCCACGTCTTGAGTTCAGCATTGCGTTCAGCAGTTAACCCCGAGGCATTCCAAGAAAGAAAGGACAGTCTGGGTTTTGTCTTTGGGGTGTGAGGTATAGGCAGTTTGGGTCGGATGGTGCTTTGGGTGACCCCTAGCTCTCCTGCACTAAACCACCTGCCTCTGTAGCGTGTGCCACCAGCTCGTGCTGCTCTTCTCTGCGCCCTAATAAAGGCTCGTTTATGTCCTAACTTGAATGTTGCATGCAATGAATCACCGTTGTGGTTTGTCATACCATGAAGTCTAAGATGCGATCGTGCTGTGACTTCAGGAGGATCCAGGTGGGGAGAGCCTCCAACCCTCGTGTCTGTAGACTGTACGGCTCTGCAAGGCTGAATCAACAGGTTGCCCCAGAACAGCAACATGTACAGAGTGCGCTGACACAGTCTACCCCTGGAATTGGGACCAGGGCGGCCTATCTGTTGTTGTGGGGGAGAGGCGGGGCGATGAGCCAGGCTGGACTGCAATGCTTGCCACTGTTGCTGCCAAGAGGAGCTCAAGCAAGCCAACCTGTACAAAGCTTCTGTGCCACTCTCAGTCCGTTAAAAATCCAGCTCACCAATCTTGAGCAACAAAATTTCCTCAGCCTCTGTCTGCGTCGTCTGCGTCCTGTTCTTCGTGGTCGTCGGTTCCGTCTTCCATGTGCACGGCGAGGTTGGCGGTACTTTCCAGGCCTGAGATGCACTCCCAGCTTCCCTGACCAGAGGGCTTCAGTGGCCCGAACCTGTTGCTGCTGTGGAAGAAGCTGCTGGGGTATTCTGTGCTCCATCCACCCAGTGCGCCGTCCGGCCTGAAAAACCCATGTACCATTGCTGAAATTCACGCTGTCCGTCTTCACCAAGCAGAGGAAAAAGCACCTCAATACTCGGCTGAGATAATCGTCGGCCTGCAATCTCAACCAAGGCTGGCGTGATCTCCTCAGCACACTCAGGGTCCAGTCTGGTTTGCAGGTGGGCCAATACCATTCTGGACATGTGCTGCAGGAAGACATGCTGCGACGGGTCCCCCCACTGCCCTGTCTGTTCAATCCAGTGAACATCATTCTCTTTGACGCCTTCTCGGAACAGGGCCTCCAGGGCATCAAAGTCCTTTCGCAGCTTGGCGGCAATGGTTGCATCCAGTTGGGGAGCCACAATGGCCAAAGCTTCTCGCGGCTCGCAATCCTCCAGGTTTTTGCGCTGCGTGGCCAACCTTGCGCGTAGGGAGCGCCTGTCTGATATGCCCCGCATACAGAGGTGTCCTCTCCAATAATAAAGGCATAATTCCAGCAGCGCTGCTCCAGCAAACCATTCTGCCAACCGATGCATTGCCCGACGTCTTTCTCTGACAGCTCTTGCCTCAGCTGCAGCCTTTGCTTCAGCTCGTGCCTGCATGGCCTCCAAATCACCGCTATCCGCGGAAGAACCAGAAGCAGCACCACTCGCAGAAAGAAGAGACTCATAGCTGCTGCTGCTGTACGAGCTGGACTCCGGAGAGGATCTGGGCATACTCCGGCCCGAGGGCCCCAAAAGGCAAGTATGCCAGTCCCCTCACAGACGTACTTCTGCTTTCAGCGTACAGACCGCACCGAAACCATGCACAGTGGATAGCCCCCAACTCGTACAAGAAACTTCGGGCCGAGACACTTACTACTACTACTACTACTACTACTACTACTACTACTATTACTACTACTACTACTACTACTACTACTACTACTGCTACTGCTACTGCTTGAACCTGAAGCCCTTTCCATGTATAG